TGTTACTCCTCGTGGAGGAGTATAGACCAACCAGTAGCCTTCTCCATCCAACCCTGTCCTGGACAATCCTTTCCAGTTCTTTCCAGTTGTTATTCATCCTGTTGATGTCTGCTTCCGAATTCCCACACAATGAGTTCTTCGGCCTTCCTGTTTTCCGTTTACCTTCAGTATTTCAGGTAAGCACTTGCTTCATGATGCAGTTTGGTGACTTCCGTAATGTATTTCCTATCCACTTCCAATGTCATTTCTTAATTGTCCTCTCCCACAGTAGGCTGTTGCTGATGGTTAATTCGATTAATCGAAATAAAATTGATCCAAATTAGGTTACAAAGCAACCGAACACATAAATAACGACAAGCCCATCAGAATAATTTTAGATGTTATATCATATTCTTTGTTGCCATTTTCTTTTCTCCGGTAGGTATTGATTGTTACAACTCTGTTAAAGTACTTAAACCGCTCATTCACTAAGATATCCTAATCCTCCTGCTAATAAAATAGGGGTTCTCAACTTCTGATGTATATCGACATAATTTAAGTGACAAAAGGCCTTTCGAAAGATCCATCAACCGGTTTTTAAAAAAAATAATTTACCTTTATATTGATACCCTTTAGATGTTAAACTGTTTTATGTATCAATCTGATCATATTTGGAAATGGGCATTCCTTTCGTAATTATTTTCAGAATATAATTCCTTTACGATATATGATCCCAAATCATCATGGAACAAACACGTTTCGTGTATATATCTTCATAAGTATTAGAATTATGCAGCGTTTTCGTATAAGTAATGCTACCGTTAAAAGTAAACAACCAGGTAGTTATTTGTGACTTCTTATCAGTAAACATTAATGAAATGATACGAAAACTAAACTAAAATTTCTTAGTTGTCACAATGAAACTATTACACTAGTGAATTAGAATTCAGTGCATGAATCATTTAATGCTAGTGACAAACTTGTTTACATTCACTAACCATTTATTCCCAGTAGAACTTTGATAAAATTCACCCAGGGAGTTATTCACAGATAATACATGATTATGATTGATTTATGTGGAGCTTCTTTATTTTAAAGATTTTTTTACAATTTAAAGTTAATTTTTACTACGAGCTAACAATTAGGTGGGATGTTGGGAAGTTTGATTAACCTAGTTTAGAGTGTATATACTTCTATGATTAGTTCTATTATATTGATGAATGTCAATTCACAATTAACATCTCGTCATATGCATTATTTATCCATTATCTTTTATATTTCGTGTCTATTGAATAGCCTAAATACAATCTCACGATCTTAGGCTTAATGTTTGATCCTCAAATTACCCCTGTCAACCTATTTACACTATGTACATAAAACTATTTCTTGTATTATATTAAAACATGGATATTGACTAGCTGTGAAATCCAGAACGTGCGTTTCGTCCTATTTGGGACTCGGCAGATGGATTTACCTACACCTCAGAGTTGATGTTGACTCTGAGGCGAACGGTACTGAGTTCGAGTAACAGAAGTGCAGGTAAATCCAGCTAACGAGTCCCAAATAGGACGAAACGCGCGTTCTGGATTCCACTACTAGCTACTATCCATCTTTGCATATAATGCTTGTGAATTAAGGCTCTATCGAGGCAATACGTACAGTATGCACATATGCCAATAATAGATTGATCAATCCCAGTCCTAAACATCAATCGGAATATACAAACAAACAATAACAAGTGAATTTTTATCTTGTATTGTTTAAAGTACAATAATAATCTTATCAATTAAATAATCAAGTTATCATCAGAATGTGTTTTGTGGAGATTTTTAGAAATTTTCACAGATTGAACTCATGAGTCAGTTGAAGCTAGACCACCACTGAAAACCTGGAAGCACTGGACGGCCGTTTCGTCCTAGTATGGGACTCCTCAGCAGTGCGCATCCACGACCCCGCACTACCCGGGGCTCTGTTGTGAGATAGGAACTCACTGAAGACAATGGTGTACGGTAGCGCAACTTCGTGGATTGGTTGAAGTTAGACATTAACACCGTTGGATGCCGGCTCAGTGGTCTAGTGGTTAAGTGCTCGCGCGCGAAGCCAGTAGGTCCCGGGTTCGAGCCCCGGGTGTTGCGGGGTCGTGGATGCGCACTGCTGAGGAGTCCCATACTAGGACGAAACGGCCGTCCAGTGCTTCCAGGTTTTCAATGGTGGTCTAGCTTCAACTGACTCATGAGTTCAATCTGTGAAAATCAAGTTATCAGTTTGAATACAATTTTACCATTTACTACACAGAAATCTCTTATCAACTATGTTATGGTAGGTAAATGAAACAAACAAACAAACAAACAAACGAATGAATAGGAAATATAAATATTCATTGATAGAATATCATTGGATAATTCACATTTATCATTGTATTATTGATGAGTAGTGAACAAATTGTAACTCTTATTATTGTTTTGCTTAATTATTGATTAATATATCGAATTTAATCAATGAATAGAACATGATGGAAATATTTTCTGATTGAAAATTCGCAAATAATCAATGAATTCGTCAAGTTGTTCATCTAAACAAAATTTATTGGTGATTATGAATATTTCAGCAAAGATTCATTCAGATAAACAAACACTTTCAGATTGAAGGTTTCAATCATTGAAATTGGATCCATTAGATTTAAGACTTAATCAGTAATAGTCTAAGTTGAGATTGTATTTTGGAGCATAATGTAAAATTAATGGGAAACAATTGTACGGAGCTTTCCAGTAATCATAGTTGATGAACCAAACTTTGATATTATAAAACAAACAGACGCATACGTACTAGCCTATACATATACATAGCGCATGCTCAAAATCACATATGAGTAATTGACAAGGCGAAATATGTGGGTAATAATACAAATAAATTAATTAGAATAACTCATCTGTCCAAAGGTTAGAATAAATCACGTAGGCGTGTGATGACAGGCCGTCGCTACACTATTTCGAAGTCAATGAAATAACTAAACACGAATGAACAACTTGAAACGTATATCAGTCGGTCATGATCAATATAGAGTTTAGTACAAATGTGTGTCGGATAAAGTTATACTGATACATACCTCAGACGTTTATTCCTTTATTCATTGGTTATGCACATCAACCAGGCCGGAATGATAGTACTTTTAGAATACGACCAATTTATTGTACTTCGTTGCTTTCTACTTAGCTACATAAAAGTCAATGAATTTAATTATTCTCAGTTAAAAGCATAATGTCCAATATAATGTACTATACATAATACAATGCTCAATCAATCAAACAAACAAAAGTAGACAACCACTGATGATGTGTCATCTACAAAAGGGTATATCATTTTACATGTTAGTGTTAACATTTTCTGGCCCGTTGATAGGACTCCAACTTGATCAAATAGTGGTGTTGTAGCAATATACATACTGTCAAACCTCACTGATAATTATCGACTTCATTCGCGTTAGAGAATAACGGAATAAGTGAAATACGACAATGAAGTTTGAATACGGATATCTCACACTTTCCTTGATCCAGACAGACAATCAGAGAAACGAAGTGGAATAGACCGGGGAAGGCAAGTGTGCCAACTCCCTTTGATAAAGCTTAGCTCGATATTTAGAGAGAGACAAAAATAAGCTACAGATTCGTGATGGATAGGGTAAGTGATACATACACACATAGGCTGATATGTAAACAATCAAGGTTAATAGCGAATCACTGATAGGGTCAAATGTGACTCAAAACGAATAAATAAATTGGTCTGTCCAAAAATTAGAATAACCCATGTGGGTTTGGTAGAGTACCAGACACTACAAGACCATACATATTGGAAGGACATAAAGAAGCGTCACTACTCGTTTTATTAAATATGGTTTCAGAAACCTAAGCCTTCATTGACAGAGCATCATTCATAGCTCGATAGTACACCTACTGTTTGACACGAAACATAAAGTCGGAGCATCCAAATTGATCAATAAACAGTCGGATTCTGCCTTACCAAGATTTATGGAATGTGTCACAGTTCGAAGGCTTCAACTGAAAAGCTGTATCCGAAAAGGGTGAATGGTCAAAATTCAACTGCCTTCCTATTATAATTATGTGAGAATACTTATCGTATGGTAATCAAAATAACTCATTGTGTCAATGAATAAAAACGAGGAGATTTCAGAGAGGAAAATTTTCTTTTCGACGAAATCATTTACTTGATCTGTACATTCATATTAATAGTTGTATGGCAGATATATGTGTGTATATGGATAGAAACGATTGTATCACGAAGGGATTCAAGGTTCCAAATGTCAGATGAGGTCGCGCAATCATTATGGGATCAGAATAGAATATAAGCATGAAAATAATTTCAGGTTATAAATTTTGAAAGATAATTATCTGTTTGACAGATATGAAGGAAAACAAAGAACATAAAGGTCATAATAATAACAAATAAATAATAACCATCACCGGTTGCTAAAATCCAATAATAATAACCGATTACGGTTTAAAACAATAAAAAAAAACAGAACCGAACTATACTGCAGAAGGGAATTATGGTCAAGGAATTATTAGAGGTTAAACTCATCGGTTTGCACGCACAGTTCGAGCTTGAATTTGTGGATTGCCAACACCTCAGAAGTGCATGAGTTTTCGAATCGACCTCACATCCATCCACAGATTCATCCAATTCCTTTGATGGTGTAGATTAGTTTGTAGGAATATCCACACGGAACCACATGTCCAGAGTCGATTTGATGCTCCTGTATTATTCATTATGGTTGAATCAAAGTGGACAGGTGGAACTGGAAGACAGTTTGGTCACTCAATACATTTTTAATCATCACTTATTTACTACATGAAAAATATCAAAAGAAAAGTGCAATAGCATGATCAATTGTTGACTCCATTTTAAACTTATAATCACATGAACTCTATGCCGAATCACGAACATGGTTAACAGAGTAATATAAATATGCTTTGATATCTCTCTGATAGAATTATACACTTTCATTAATCTGTATTCATAATGATTATCAAGGCGATTGTATTGTTGTGTTTGACACAATATCTGATGTGTGTAGTGGCGATGGTGTCGACACCAGCATCTGCAAACATTGCATCAGACGAAGTGAATGAAGTGACAGATATGGTGACAGATGATGGAGAGGATTCAAAATCAAATGATAGTGATGGAAATTTCGTCATTAATCTCATGCTGACTGTAATAGTGCATTTGAAAAACCTATTTGGATTTGGTGAGGAATCGACGCCAAGTTATAATACAACTATGGGTGTATAAAATGAGCTTCATGAAGTTCATTGCATTAGATTACTTGGATTGAGCAAACATATTCATGTACTGTGTGTTTTTAAATACATTGATAAATCATTCGTATAAATAAACTGATTTCAATATTTATTAATGATCTGTACTACTCTTGTATACAACATATCAGTCAGTTGATGAGAAATAAATGTTAGTTTGTCAAATAGTCTTCATTACTAAAATATGCTATGGTGAATGCATTCAGATGTTAGTAATATCAATAGTTTTGTGGGGATGGATGACTTACTGTGGCCTGCCTACTTATCATTATTATTATTATTATTATTATTATTACTATTTCTGTTATCATTATTATTATTATTATTGAGATTATGATACTTACTATAAAGGTGCATTATAATATCCTTCTACTCAATAGTCTCATTAAGACAACAAATACAATAGATTTCTTGTGTTGTTCTTGTGTTATTCGACTGGAGTGTTTCTGTAGGTTTCACTTGCAATTGTTTTCTTGTTCAGCCAATTTCAGCCCGTTCTGCATCAACACCATTATTCCATTTTGATCGAGAGATGTTGAGAATGCTTCATCTCAACTATCACACTTATGTTGTTTCGTGCTTGATCAAAATCTATAATATTTGTGATGGTGATCATTCAAAGATTGATTAATAATTAAATCTTATGCGTTTTTTGTTGCTTATTTATTAGGAATTTGATGATAAGTCATGGTAAATGAGTTTAATACTAGTATAGTGTTAGGACCCTTTTATTTCTCGACATTCATATCGGACGATGTTCGTTGAAGGGCTCACCATTTCAGTGGCCCGTGGATCTGACTCCAAGATCGTACGAATGTTTGTTATCGCCTATTCTCGGATATAATCGTCGACTTAAATCACGTTATCCAATAGCGGAATTAAATAAGTCGAATAACGAGAATTGATTTGTGAATACATATATTTTGTTCATGAAGCGAATGAAACAGCAAAGCAAAATGACACGTATGGAAGATGGCTGCGAAGCCAACTCCATTTTAGTCAAGCGTTACTCAGTATTTATAGGCAGACAAAATAAACTACCGACATGTGATGAGTCATGGGATATGAAGTGTACACACATATACGCTCATATAAAAACAATCAAGACTGATAAGCGAATAATTGACAAGGTCAAAATATGACTCAAGTAGAATGAATAGAATGGAATGTCCGAAAGCTAGAATAAGATACATGGGCTTAAAATAATGACTGACACTACAGTAGTAGACGCTACACTCATGATGTTTGTAAATAGTGTATAGCGGAACGTGTAGTTGAATTGGTAGCAGTTGTCGGACAATGTGATTAGTTTCAGCTCATCGAGACTAAGAAGTTTATTGCAAACATGAACACCAAGTGAGTAGACGGTTCAGTTAGCAGTTCAGAGAGCAGAGCACACTGGAAGATGCAAATGGACGATTGAAGGCGATGTATATGTATTATGTAAATGCTTGTCAACTTCTCACAGAAATACGTTTTCCTCCTACTTATTGTCTTCTCTACAACAGCTTAAAATACATGGTCGTGTGAAGTGAGTGTGAAGCTAAAACATTTAGATTATTGTGCTACGAAGAAATTAGTTAAAATAGTGGTAAGAACGTATGTGCTCAAAATAACCAGTAAAATCATTAAATGCATCATTTCTTACTGAAATAATGTTTAGTAATAGTCAGCTGGTGTTATGGCTTTATGTCCGGCTTTTTATCACGTGACTTATCCACCAATCAGAATACGACTTATACAAATCTCCACACTATGCCAACCACTGACGTTCAACCGGTATGAGCAGTCTAGCGTCCTTATTGTTCCTATGTCCTCCTAGCCTGTCCACTTGAGTTTAGAACACAATACCAGCTTCTGCAATATGGATCGAATCGTTTATTTCAGACATACTGGGTTTATATGTCAAACAAACAGACCGCAATGTACCATAAAATAGAAAATAACATGTGTGCACAAATAAGCCAAAATTGGCTGTGAACGCGGGAGATAGTAATAAATAGACTGAACATAGCTTATGAGCCGTAAATCGTATAGTAATAAATTATAGGTCAAAATAATGCTTATAATAAGAGGAATATAAATATACATAACCTAAGTATTGTCTAGTTATACAATAAGAATATTTATAGAATATTTGTCCATTAATAGTCCACGGAAGTTACCCGTAATTTAATCTCCGCTTGGATATAACAGCTGGTATGAATGCAGTCGATTCTTGGTCAGTCGAATTTATCAGTGTAAGAATAGGAGAATGAATAAATATTCTAACGCTTTTCATACTTCTCACTTGGATTTATGTGTGTGGGAGGTAACTTTGTTCAAGTGTTTCGGTCAGCATTTGAATTATCAGACGTTTTCACAATTCAGTCGGTAGTGTTCGGCTTCGCAGCACATGAATTTTGCAGCTAGACATGCCACTAGCATTCACGTGATTTTACATTCTCTATAATAAGCGATTTTCTGTATTTATTCCTCTGTTCTGTTCTTACACACATTTACTGATCAGAATGACAAGCTGAAGGAAATCAAATTTAAGAGTATAAACTTGTGATAGCCATATCTGTCAATACATGTAAACCATCATAGATACACTTGAGTAGATGAATTTTTAAGTTGACAATTTCCTTAACTTAGTTCAATTCTTGTCTTCGAATTGAATAGTGTTGAATGTCACTTCACATATGGGAGATCTACGTTTGCAATTATTCACTAATGTTAGCTTTGTGACTTTCAATTCCAAACGTTTATTCCGATTGACTAATGGAAAGATTGACTCATATTGTATGTTGATAGATTCTGTGAAATTATATATCTTATTCATCAATAGTTTTCACTGGAAATCACTTTGCAACCATCGAATCACTTCTACTGTCCTGCAGTAATAACAGTCGATAACAATACAATAATCTGATCTTCATTAGCCACAAATATTAATCGCTGTGTCATGTGATAAACGTAGAATTCTGATAAATTCTATGTAATTACATGTAATCCCTTAGTGATAAATCTGCTCACGCATCCTACCTACGTTTCCAACTGTTCGACAATCTTTTGTGCATGACATTAGTCTACTTAATAACATTCAGTAGGCAATTTCACTGTTCGTGATTTTGGAAATGTAGATTGGCACATGGTTCTGTTATTGTGTCGAGCTCATAAGCATTCCAAAAAATCTGTAACATTCAGTTTGCCTAACATTGTAATTGTAACTTCTTAACACCTGTAGAAATTGTTTCCAACATTTGTGCATTCATTCATTCATTTTTAAGTGTAACACTTTCCCTAAATTGTGTACGTGGTTCTCACCCCAACAGCATAATTTGCATCTACCAACATGGTTCAGAGTAACAGTCAATGACTTGATAAACTCTTTTGACCACCCGTAACTCTCTTCCAGTCCACACTCAACACTGATTGTTACATTTCACATCGTCTTGATTTAAAAATTAATTTACATGCTAATCCTTTGAATCAGTTTTGCTCGTCTATTAAGTAAAATTCTACTAAATGTTTTATTGTGTATATAATATATATTTTGTATAAATAACATTGATTACTGGATGCGGGACATAGATTGGAACAAACCACGTTCCGTGCACGACTCTAGAATCTTCTCACATAATAAATATAAATATACTAATGTTTCTCTTATTGTGCTTCTTACTTCCATCTACACTTGTTACTTGGAATATAATTTCGTTCCTGTTCAACCGTCTTCTAATTTGGGCACTTGTCAAGAGAATTGGTGTTCAAAACTACTAAGCAATAGGAATAGCAGAGTCGTGATCACAGAAATCATAACAATTATTTAAATGCCCCTTTCCTCCTCACTTTCAGTATTGAAGCTTGAAAATTAAACACTTCAACATACTTAGTAGATGTTGTTGTATACTAGATCGATATTTAGTTGTATGCACTAAGAGTTCTGTCGGACTACAACATGAGAAAAACATCCATCTAACCTAAAATGTTGAAACTACTGTTGAAGGTTAAACAGTCAGTGGAGAGAATATTTAGTTTAAATTGACAATACGAATGGGTCACTGAGAAATGACCAGTGTCATGTTTGTCTAGTTCTTATTGAATTCTAGTCGGATTCTATCGATCATGTCATCACGTGGTCACTAGTCTAGTCAACAGACGATTTAAAAGACTAGACATGCTTGAATATGCGAATGGTAAATATTAATAAAAATGAATATTTCCAGTTGACGTATGGTAAATTATAACTGTGAACAATTTCGAAACTCCCAGTTGAAATGAGAATGAATACGGCGTTTGAAAGACTAGATGACTGTCATACAACAACAACATTTCACAGTTAACAATCCAAATACTTATAGAGAAAACGGAACTCTCAGGAAAATTTTATATTCCAAACAAAAGTTAAAAATTGTAACGATCAACTGTGTTGATGTAGTAACATACAATAATCTTGGGGAATACAGAATGGCTGGTAAATTAAAAGTGATAAAAATCAATCAAATAACATCAAGGATGATTGCAGAAATCTTAGATGTTCATGTAAACTGAATATCCTGTTGATTGTTCTGGCAAGAGAAACATAAGTCACTATATCCAGTACTGAGGAGAGTATGTGGCTCAAACAGAAAGTTTCTTAGCGGAAAATAGAGTACTGAGACGTCTGATGAACTGACGTTAGAAAATTGAATGTTTCATGTTAATCCGGAAAGGATTTGTATCATGATCAAGATTCGTAAATCAAGATAGATTTATGATATGATAGAATTATTCATGAACTGATACAGATCGGGAAAACTATGTCAAAGCAAACAAGAAAGAGAAATATTCATCTATGTTAATTTCGTAAATTGAATGGATGAATGAATGCACAAATGTTGGAACCAATTGCTACAGGTGTTAAGAAGCTACAATTACAATGTTAAGTTAACTGAATGTCAAAAATTCATTCGAATGCTTATGAGCTTATTTGAGAACACATGTTACTTTCTATTTTATGGTACATTGCGGTCTGTTTGTTTGACATATAAACCCAGTATGTCTGAAATAAACGATTCGATCCATATTGCAGAAGCTGGTATTGTGTTCTAAACTCAAGTGGACAGGCTAGGAGGACATAGGAACAATAAGGACGCTAGACTGCTCATACCGGTTGAACGTCAGTGGTTGGCATAGTGTGGAGATTTGTATAAGTCGTATTCTGATTGGTGGATAAGTCACGTGATAAAAAGCCGGACATAAAGCCATAACACCAGCTGACTATTACTAAACATTATTTCAGTAAGAAATGATGCATTTAATGATTTTACTGGTTATTTTGAGCACATACGTTCTTACCACTATTTTAACTAATTTCTTCGTAGCACAATAATCTAAATGTTTTAGCTTCACACTCACTTCACACGACCATGTATTTTAAGCTGTTGTAGAGAAGACAATAAGTAGGAGGAAAACGTATTTCTGTGAGAAGTTGACAAGCATTTACATAATACATATACATCGCCTTCAATCGTCCATTTGCATCTTCCAGTGTGCTCTGCTCTCTGAACTGCTAACTGAACCGTCTACTCACTTGGTGTTCATGTTTGCAATAAACTTCTTAGTCTCGATGAGCTGAAACTAATCACATTGTCCGACAACTGCTACCAATTCAACTACACGTTCCGCTATACACTATTTACAAACATCATGAGTGTAGCGTCTACTACTGTAGTGTCAGTCATTATTTTAAGCCCATGTATCTTATTCTAGCTTTCGGACATTCCATTCTATTCATTCTACTTGAGTCATATTTTGACCTTGTCAATTATTCGCTTATCAGTCTTGATTGTTTTTATATGAGCGTATATGTGTGTACACTTCATATCCCATGACTCATCACATGTCGGTAGTTTATTTTGTCTGCCTATAAATACTGAGTAACGCTTGACTAAAATGGAGTTGGCTTCGCAGCCATCTTCCATACGTGTCATTTTGCTTTGCTGTTTCATTCGCTTCATGAACAAAATATATGTATTCACAAATCAATTCTCGTTATTCGACTTATTTAATTCCGCTATTGGATAACGTGATTTAAGTCGACGATTATATCCGAGAATAGGCGATAACAAACATTCGTACGATCTTGGAGTCAGATCCACGGGCCACTGAAATGGTGAGCCCTTCAACGAACATCGTCCGATATGAATGTCGAGAAATAAAAGGGTCCTAACACTATACTAGTATTAAACTCATTTACCATGACTTATCATCAAATTCCTAATAAATAAGCAACAAAAAACGCATAAGATTTAATTATTAATCAATCTTTGAATGATCACCATCACAAATATTATAGATTTTGATCAAGCACGAAACAACATAAGTGTGATAGTTGAGATGAAGCATTCTCAACATCTCTCGATCAAATGGAATAATGGTGTTGATGCAGAACGGGCTGAAATTGGCTGAACAAGAAAACAATTGCAAGTGAAACCTACAGAAACACTCCAGTCGAATAACACAAGAACAACACAAGAAATCTATTGTATTTGTTGTCTTAATGAGACTATTGAGTAGAAGGATATTATAATGCACCTTTATAGTAAGTATCATAATCTCAATAATAATAATAATAATGATAACAGAAATAGTAATAATAATAATAATAATAATAATAATAATGATAAGTAGGCAGGCCACAGTAAGTCATCCATCCCCACAAAACTATTGATATTACTAACATCTGAATGCATTCACCATAGCATATTTTAGTAATGAAGACTATTTGACAAACTAACATTTATTTCTCATCAACTGACTGATATGTTGTATACAAGAGTAGTACAGATCATTAATAAATATTGAAATCAGTTTATTTATACGAATGATTTATCAATGTATTTAAAAACACACAGTACATGAATATGTTTGCTCAATCCAAGTAATCTAATGCAATGAACTTCATGAAGCTCATTTTATACACCCATAGTTGTATTATAACTTGGCGTCGATTCCTCACCAAATCCAAATAGGTTTTTCAAATGCACTATTACAGTCAGCATGAGATTAATGACGAAATTTCCATCACTATCATTTGATTTTGAATCCTCTCCATCATCTGTCACCATATCTGTCACTTCATTCACTTCGTCTGATGCAATGTTTGCAGATGCTGGTGTCGACACCATCGCCACTACACACATCAGATATTGTGTCAAACACAACAATACAATCGCCTTGATAATCATTATGAATACAGATTAATGAAAGTGTATAATTCTATCAGAGAGATATCAAAGCATATTTATATTACTCTGTTAACCATGTTCGTGATTCGGCATAGAGTTCATGTGATTATAAGTTTAAAATGGAGTCAACAATTGATCATGCTATTGCACTTTTCTTTTGATATTTTTCATGTAGTAAATAAGTGATGATTAAAAATGTATTGAGTGACCAAACTGTCTTCCAGTTCCACCTGTCCACTTTGATTCAACCATAATGAATAATGCAGGAGCATCAAATCGACTCTGGACATGTGGTTCCGTGTGGATATTCCTACAAACTAATCTACACCATCAAAGGAATTGGATGAATCTGTGGATGGATGTGAGGTCGAATCGAAAACTCATGCACTTCTGAGGTGTTGTCAATCCACTAATTCAAGACCGAACTCCGTATGCAAACCGATGAGTTCAACCTCTTATTCTACCTTGAGACTTATTTACTTATGCAGTATATTTTGGTCTTGTTTTATTTATTCATATTGTTGTTCTGTAATTTTAAACCGTAATCGGTTGTTGTTATTAATAATACATTTTAGCAACCAGTGATGGTTATTATTTATTTGTTATTATTATGACCTTTATGTTCTTTGTTTTCCTTCATATCTGTCAAACAGATAATTATCTTTCAAAATTTATAACCTGAAATTATTTTCATGCTTATATTCTATTCTGATCCCATAATGATTGCGCGACTTCATCTGACATTTGGAACCTTGAATCCCTTCGTGATACAATCGTTTCTATCCATATACACACATATATCTGCCATACAACTATTAATATGAATGTACAGATCAAGTAAATGATTTCGTCGAAAAGAAAATTTTCCTCTCTGAAATCTTCTCGTTTTTATTCGTTGACACAATGAGTTATTTTGATTACCATACGATAAGTATTCTCACATAATTATTTTTAGCTTTAACAACAACAACAACAACGATTCTTCATCAAATAATTAGTCCACAAGACTTGAACATCTTCCTTCCGATCCCAGTTAGTATCGGAGATACTCATTTTCTATGGGGTCGCATGAGAGGAGGAAGCAGCTATCGATTTCACCCTTCTTTTCAATAGTGCCTCTAATTGATGTCACATACTAAGGAATGTCATCTGCATAGATTCTTAACCGGTTGGTTTAATTATAGTCAAAAGAGTTCATGTTCAAATCTATTCAAATCGATCGATTCTTGTAGGAAATCGAAAACCAAATTTGAACGAACAATATAAAAGAGAATTATTTGTTAGTGAATCATGAATAGAAGTAGAGAAACGAGGAAACATATAACTGAAAAGTCTGATGTGGTATTCAAAACTGATATGAACACTAGTCAGTGGAAATAGCAACTCAGATGAATGCACATTCATAGACGTGATTATTTTGATACTAGGTCTCAACATCACCATCTACTGTTATAAACATCCGTGTTTTGTCCACCAAGCTATTGAGTCCAGACAGACACTAAAATGTTCAATGCGTATAATATTTACTTGTGAGTGCTCACGTTTTACTGTTGTGGATATTCGGGATGTGTCTTAAATGGGATATATGCAAACAGAATGGTTATATCGATGTTTGCTTTTAGTTATAATGTCTGCTATATATAGATTGTGGATATCAGTATGATCCAGGAAACGAATTTCATTGTATTCGGAACTCGTCAGGTGATAATATCAATAATATCCTCTCAACATCTATATATATTCTAACACGACTAGTCAAAATCACGTTGTGAATACCAAATACACTAATATCTACAACTGTAAATGTAAATATTCATTAACCCATTGATACAGCTTAAATCAATTGAAATTCGAACTATAAGAATAATGAATGATAATTATCTGCGGATCTCAGACAGAATATTCACTTGACCGAAAGATTGTGGATGAAGTACTCTCGTCACTGTCACATGACTGCTGGTGGTTGGTCTATGCTCCTCCACGAAGTGTAACAGCCGTGAATTTGTAGGTAGTTTGATGAATTCGGTGTTCATGTGTTAATATCAACGTGAATCAATGAGTAATCGAACATAAATATTGTCAATTCGAAAACATCATTATTTTGCTGTTCCCTTAGTTGCATTCTCTATTCAACTCTGTTCTGGACAATTGTTTCCAGTTGCTATTCATACTTTTCATGTCTGCTGCAAATTTGTAGGCAGTTTGATGAATTCGAAGCAGCCTTGTCTGACTCCGATTCTTACATGCAATGCGTCTGTAATCTGTCCTCCATACACGACTTTAGAGTTTAGTCCATCGTGTGAACTCCTTATGGCGTTGACGATTATCTCACTTACTCACTACATAGTGTCGAAGAAGTCTCCATCATGTTCTCCTATCCACACTGTCAAATGCTTTCCCATAGTCAAGGAAGTTGATGTATAGTGACGGATTCAATTCAATCGTTTGTTCAACGATGATCCGTTATGTCACGATATGAGTTGTGCACGACCGATCCTCACGGAATCCGACCTGTTGATGTAGAATTTGGGCGTCTAATGAATCTTTCTGGTACTGATGTAGTGTGATGCTTCTGTAGCTGAGTTTTCACATTTGCTCAGATATCCTTTCCTTGATATCTTGATGTAGTATTCTTGTATCTAGTCTGTCGGTGGCACTTACACTTCCTCCCAAAACTTCCTGAATAGAGTATGAAGCATGTTTTCAGTTCCTTCTACGTGTGGCTTCAGTAATTCAGGTGGTATATTGTCAGGTGATGATGCATTGCCACACTTGATATTTCTGATGTCAATCCACATTTCTTCGATAATTGGCAGAGTGATATGTATAAGGAGGTCTGTATGTTCAGCAATAGAAAGGAACAAACTAAACTGCCTACGTGAAATATGGTCAAGAAGTGAAAACAGGTTGAACTCATTGGTTTGCATACAGACTTCGATCATGAAATGGTGGATTGACAAAAATTCAGTAGTGCATGAGATTTCGAATCGACCTCACATCCATCCATCCACAGATTCATCCAATTCCTTTGATGGAATGGATAAGTTTAAATGAAGGTGCATTCGGAACCACGTGTCCAGAGTTGATTAGATGCTCATATATTGAATTATTGTATGTTTCGTCATAATTATAGACAAAGTATTTCACAGTGATCTCCAGTGACATTGACATGACTCTCAGTGCTACTCATTCCTGAAATAAACGCTCAATGTATTTGGCTAGTTAATACAAAATGATATTCATTCCTCCCGAGTATTGCCACAGTAAACACTTTGATTCAACCAAAATGAGTAGAAACTGACAGCTTCTGACCACCATAATTATTCAACTGATCCATTTGAAACTTGTCAAGCCTATCCACCAAATATATATCATTCATCGATGTGAATAGACACAGATTGACGCATTGTAATGACTAACCGAAATTGATGCTCTGTCAAATTATTCATTATGGTTGAATCAAAGTGGACAGGTGGAACTGGAAGACAGTTTGGTCACTCAATACATTTTTAATCATCACTTATTTACTACATGAAAAATATCAAACGAAAATTGTAATAGCATGATCAATTGTTGACTCCATTTTGAACTTGTAATCACATGAACTCTATGCCGAATCACGAACATGGTTAACAGAGTAATATAAATATGCTTTGATATCTCTCTGATAGAATTATACACTTTCATTAATCTGTATTCATAATGATTATCAAGGCGATTGTATTGTTGTGTTTGACACAGTATCTGATGTGTGTAGTGGCGATGGTGTCGATACCAGCATCTGCAAACATGTCATCAGACGAAGTTAATGAAGTGACAGATATGGTGACAGATGATGGAGAGGATTATATACCAGATGACCTTTATGGAAATTTCTTCGATAATATCATTCAGATTGTCATAAAGCGCTTGAGAGAACTATTTGAATTTGAGGAGGAATCGACGCCAAGTTATAATACAACTATGGGTGTATAAAATGAGCTACATGAAGTTCATTGCATTAGATTACATGGATTGAGCAAACATATTCATGTACTGTGTGTTTTTAAATACATTGATAAATCATTCGTATAAATAAACTGATTTCAATATTTATTAATGATCTGTACTACTCTTGTATACAACATATCAGTCAGTTGATGAGAAATAAATGTTAGTTTGTCAAATAGTCTTCATTACTAAAATATGCTATGGTGAATGCATTCAGATGTTAGTAATATCAATAGTTTTGTGGGGATGGATGACTTACTGTGGCCTACCTACTTATCATTATTATTATTATTATTATTATTATTATTACTATTTCTGTTATCATTATTATTATTATTATTGTGATTATGATACTTACTATAAAGGTGCATTATAAAATCCTTCTACTCAATAGTCTCATTAAGACAACAAATACAATAGATTTCTTGTGTTGTTCTTGTGTTATTCGACTGGAGTATTTCTGTAGGTTTCACTTGCAACTGTTTTCTTGTTCAGCCAATTTCAGCCTGTTCTGCATCAACACCATTATTCCATTTGGATCGAGAGATGTTGACAATGCTTCATCTCAACTATCACAGTTAGGTTGTTTGGTGCATTCTACTTCCAAATCCGATCTTCACATTTTCACGTGAATTATATAAGCTCTGCGAAATCTTCATAACAATCGATACGAGTTTCTATCTGTTTAGTTTAATCTATTTTAATTAGACTACAGAGAAGTGGATCATGTTCGATAATGTGAAAGATGGATGCATGGAGCATGAATATGCGAAAATTGAATTTGTATTGAATACTTATGAATGGATTAGATATTAGGATTAGACATTGATTTGACGACTAGTATGTGTGTACTATGTGCTGAGTATTATATTGATTTGTTCGAATGAAATGGACATAGTTATTGAGCTGATTGGATTTGTTTTAGGCGTGTGATCACGAGGTGACACTGAATGATGAGTGTGTAGATGAGCGTAATCGAGTAATCGCGAAGTATGATTGTATACTACTAGAACTGTTATTTGTTATCTGTTACTCAACAATTCCTCAAAATTGATGTCACTTCGTGATGGAGATCATTTTAGAAATGAACAATAATTAATTTGTTGTTCGTTTTTTATTGTTTCTTGGAAAGGAAGCTGATAAGTGAGGCAAATGAGTGTGATACTAGTGTAGTGGACGCTGCACACAAGAATGTCTGTGAATAGTGCTAAGCGGAACAAATTTAATATGTTCACATATGTACATGTGTACAATTCGAATAACCGTGATCAATAGATTACTTAATTTCGATAAACTCAGTTCCTTCGAAAGTTATGAGTCCGATGCCCCTCCTGACAACCAGTGTAACCATTTATTTATTTACATGGAATACTCGTACAATGTGGGCGACCGGGAAAGTCTTTTAAATTGCTGCAGAAATGAAGAGACACAACCTAGAGGTGCTTGGGATCAGTGATACACATTGGACGCAAATTGGACAACAGCGTCTAGCTTCATGGGAGCTTCCGTTATACTCTGGCCATGAAGAAGGAACTGTCTCATATGCACAAGGAGTTGCATTGATGCTGTCCAAACAAGCACAAAATGCACTAATAGGATGGGAATCTCATGGATCAAGGATCATCAAAGCCTCCTTCAAAACAAAGAAATGGGGCATTACAATGAACGTCATTCAATGCTATGTGCCTACCAACGACTACAATGAAGACGCTAAACATCAATTCTACAATAGGCTGCAGTCAATTATCGAGAAGTACCCAACAAAAGACCTGACCATTCTGATGGGAGATTTAAATGCCAAAGTCGGAATAGACAACACCGGATATGAAGACATCATGGGACGACACGGACTGGGAGAAAGGAACGAAAATGGTGAGAGATTTGCAAACCTATGTGCCTTCAATAAACTGGTCATAGGCGGCACTATATTCCCACATAAACGCATTCACAAGATCACATGAACTTCACCGGATCACACCACGCAAAACCAAATCGACCATATCTGCATCAACAAAAAGTTCAGGAGGACGATGGAGGATGTGAGAACCAAGAAAGGAGTTGATATAGCATCAGATCATCACTTGCTGGTCGCCAAAATGAAATTGAAACTCAAGAAGCACCGGAAGATGGGGTGGACAATATCACAAAGGTTTAATACGGCCTTTCTTCTGGTTACTGACAAACTCAACAAATTCAAGATAGCCCTCAGCAACACGTTCCAGGCCTTTCATGAACTTATCAATGGAGAGGGAACTACTACAGAGAGCAACTGGAAGGAGATCAAAGAGGCAATCACTTCAACATGTCATGAGGTTCTGGGCCACAAGGAACACCACCACAAGGAATGGATCACTGTTGACACACTAGATAAGATTCAAGAAAAGAGGAACAAGAAGGTAGCAATCAATACCAGTCGAACAAGAGCAGAAAAAGCCAAGGCACAAGCTCAATACACAGAAGTAAACAAGAAAGTGAAGAGGAGCATCAAACAAAAAAAAAGTAAATATGTGGAAGACTTAGTAATGACAGTGGAAAAGGCTGCAAGAGAAGGAAACATGAGACAACTGTATGACATGACAAAGAAACTGTCTGGAAATCACCGTGAACCAGAACGACCAGTGAAAAGCAAGGAAGGCAAGGTAATCACCAACATTGAAGAACAACGAAACAGGTGGGTAGAACATTTCAAAGAACTCTTGAATCGACAAGCCCTACTGAACCCACCCAACATCGAAGCAGCACCCACGGACCCCGCTATCGATGTTGGCCCACCAACAGTTGAACAAATCAGCATGGCCATCAGACAAATCAAGAGTGGCAAAGCAGCAGGACAACATTCCAGTAGAGGCACTGAAAGCGGACGTAGCGGTAACTGCAAGAATACTCCAGATTCTTTTCAGCAACATTTGAGATGAGGAACAAGTACGAAGAGACTGGAAAGAGAAACTTCTGGCCAAAATACCAAAGAAAGGCTATCTCAGCAAGTGTGAGAACTACAGGGGCATCACTCTTCTCTCAATACCGGGAGAAGTCTTCAACAGGGTATTGCTAAACAGAATGAAGGACTCTGTGGACGCCCAACTTCGTGACCAACAGGCAGGATTCCGTAAGGATGGATCGTGTACAGACCAAATCGCAACTCTATGGATCATTGTGGAACAATCAGTTGAATGGAATTCATCACTCTACATCAACTTCATTGACAATGAGAAAACATTTGATAGCATGGACAGAACAATACTATGGAAGCTTCTTCGATACTATGGCGTGCCTCAGAAGATAGTCAATATCATACAGAATTCATATGATGGATTAAACTGCAAAATTGTGCATGGAGGACAGTTGACAAACTCGTTCGAAGTAAAGACCGGTGTCAGGCAAGGTTGCTTACACTCACCCTTTCTCTTTCTCCTGGTGATCGATTGGATCATGAAGACGTCAACATCTGAAGGGAAGCACGGGATACAGTGGACATCTAGGATGCAGTTCGACGATCTAGACTTCGCAGATGATCTGGCCCTTCTATCGCACACGCAACAACAAATGCAGGAGAAAACGACCAGTGTAGCAGCAGCCTCAGCACCACTAGGTCTCAACATACACAAAGGGAAAAGCAAAATTCTCCGATGCAACACAGCATGCACCAATCCAATCACAATTGACGGAGAAGATTTGGAAAATGGGAAAACGTTTATATATTTGGGCAGCATGATTGATGAACATGGTGGATCTGATGCAGATGTGAAGGCGCGGATCGGCAAAACAAGAGCAGCATATTTACAACTGAGGAACATCTGGAACTCAAAACCACTGTCAACCAACACCAAAGTAAGAATTTTCAATACAAATGTCAAAACAGTTCTACTGTATGGGGCGGAAAAAAAAAAAAAAAAAAAAAAAAAAAACCGGAAGATACAAGTGTTTATTAACAGTTGTCTACGCAAAATATTTCTAATCCGTTTACCAGACACTATCAGCAACAGCCTACTATGGGAGAAAATAAATCAGATCCCAGAGGAGGAAGAAATCAGGAAGAATCGCTGGAAGTGGATAGGACACACATAGAGGAAAGCACCCGACTGCATCACAAGACAAGTCCGCACTTGGAATCCTCAAGGCTAAAGGAGAAGAGGAAGACCAAAGAACACATTACGTCGAGAAATGGAGATGGACATGAGAAAAATGAACAAGAATTGGATGGAACTAGAAAAGAAGGCCCAGGACAGAGTGGGTCGGAGAATGCTGGTTGGCGGCCTATGCTTCACTGAGAGTAACAGTCGTAAGTAAGTTAGTAAGTAATTTCACTGTGGTTCACTCTGGACAAATAGCTTGGTACATTGTTCTGTTGTTGAGTCGTGCTCATTAGCTTTCGAATAAATTTGTGACATTCAGTTAACTTAAGATTGTAATTGTAACTTCTTAACACCTGTAGAAATTGTTTCCAACATTTGTGCATTCATTCATTCATTTTTTAAGTGTAACACTTTCCCTAAATTGTGTACGTGGTTCCCACCCCAACAACGTAATTTGCATCTACCAACATGGTTCAGAGTAACAGTCAATGACTTGATAAACTCTTTTGACCACCCGTAACTCTCTTCCAGTCCACACTCAACACTGATTGTTACATTTCACATCGTCTTGATTCAAAAACTAATTTACATGCTAATCCTTTGAATCATTTATGCCCGTCTTTTAAGTGAGATTCTATTAAAACATTTTACTTAATTCTTTATATTATGTATAATGAGCATTGATTAGTTAAATGCCCTAATTCTATTCACCTTCAATAATGAAGTTTGAAAATTCAACAGTTCAACATAGTTAGTCGATATTGTTATATACTAGATCGATATTTAGTTGTATGCACTAAAAGTTCTGTAGGTTTACAACATGAGAAACGACTGTTGAAGGTTGGAAAAGTAAGTTGCGATGATATTTGGCAATATAGTACGATACATTAACATCGTCAATACAATAAACAT